TAAACAACACCAGACGAGTTACCGTGAGATGATGTGTTTGGTGTGCACCCTAATTTATTTATGGCTCCTTTGGGGTACGGTCTCGGTATGATCGCCTACTGAAGTTGTCGTACTGTGTTTTCACAAGCATGGTTTCTCCCTCAGCAGCAATCGAAGCTGTGACTTTCCAGATACGCAGATACGAGCTACAGTCCTTACCAATTGTCTGCCTATGTCATAAGTGGGATAAAATGCAATAGGAACACTATAAAGACATATTTATGCATTAATTTGTCAAAACAAACAAAGAAAATAAAACCAAAAACTTCTCCGAAAACAAGTACAACAATAAAAAATAATATCGTACACAATACTCCATACAAAATCACTCCTCGGGCGTTTCTTCAAGGCCATATTTCTCGCGTATGGCGGCACTATCGGAATGTGATAAGAACTGGCAGATGACGATCAGATCTGCAAAGTCGCAAAAATTACAGCTCATATCCGAGGGTAACAAGAGGCGTGGCTGCAAGATTGGTAAGGCTGCAGAAGAAAAGAGACAGAAACGCATTTGTAACAGAGGGGAGTCGACACGGGAATAACGCAGCCGTCGCCAGAACGGCTCTTTTCACCCTCCGATGTCGACCAATACTTCCATGGAATTTTCTTAAACGCACGACTCAAGCTAGTTGCAAGGGCGGACTCAGTCCTACCACCGTGCTCTATGAAACATTTTAGAAGCAGAGGGCGCCACTAGGGAAGGCTCAGGACCGACTGGCGCTGCCCATACGATCATTGTGGACTGCGCTTTCCTCAGAAGTAACGCTCATTACCTCCCAAGACAGTCTTCTTCATGAAAAAAAAACAGAAAAAATAATGAAAAAGTCTGCGGGCCAAAAAGAAGTAAGCTCCTAAAGAAATCGGCAAGAAAAACTGACTCGAATTGGCGTTCGAATGACCTATTCCCCTATTTCTAAGGTTTCCTCACCGCTTTTGCCTACATGCCACTAACAATTGCAATTCATGCGGCAAATATCTGTCATTACCGTTATGGTGAACGCAATTCCCAATCGACAAATATCTATTTTTCATGTGATGTTAACATTTTCTAAGTCTGCAAAAAATAAAAAAAGCACAAGTTAGTGACCAGGTCACTGCTGAACAAGATTTTGCCGAATTTCCAGGGTCTCCATTCCCGAACATTCAGCCTAAAGTTGCCCCACAAAGATGTGTTTTCCCAAAAGAGCTCCCACTGAAATTGAGCACAAATCATCCGAAAGTCCTTCCTCGCCACTAAATGAGAAACAGTAGAAAACAGTATTTCGAAAACAAGTAGAAAGTAGAAGTAGAAAACACAACTTCGAAAAATTCAATTCGAAGAAAAGGCACTCTAGAAAGTGTGAGCTAGAAGTTTCTTTTTACAAAATTTGACAAGCTGTTTGCTTTGAAAACAAGAGCACACCCGACAATTCTCCTTACTATGATCACCCGTGGAAAATATCGCATTTTCCCGCACCACGAACGCTGGCAAAAACGTTTGATCTCGGGCGGGCTCGAACCGCCGGCCTTCTGTGTGTTAGACAGATGTGATAACCACTACACCACGAGATCGCCACGATTGGCGCTGCAACGGTGAAGACCACCGGACGAAACGAAACAAAACCCGTTTACGTGTGCAACCATATGAAACTACCTTCCTGTTTTATAATTAGGGAGCTGACTCTGAGAACTGCTACGTAAATTCTGTAAGAGGCCTGATCGTAGCACTATTAAGAGTCATTAGGCTGGTGGTAAAGTAACTGGAATCCGAAGTTTCCTATTTCAAGAAAACTGGAATTTCTAGCTTCGAATTCATAGTTGGTTGAAACTCTATAAAAAGGAATCATTTGAAGTGAAAACAATCTGAAAACACACTTTCCAGTATAGGATAATTTTTCATACTTCGCCAAAACAAAAAACCTCTGAATGTTGAACACATAAAAGAGGCGCCAAAATTTATTGCGAAAGACTCAAAAGATTCAAAAGAATCCAAAAGTTTTCACAAAAATTTTTTATATTGTTTATACTCTTTCTTCTTCGAATATTTCGGTGCCTAGCACCTTCTTCAGCGACCTGAAATACTACAGTTAGCCACCTCCACCGGAATCCTGAATCTTCAGTGGTGCCTCCTTCTGGACTCTGACCTGGTCTGCTGCCTCCAGTATCCGCCAGTATGCCGACGCTGCTCCTTGCGAATGCCGCGCCTTCTAGTGGTAACTGTGACCCTACCCGTTACCCTGCTTAAATAGTGAGGATGCCTAGTGAGTGCTTCTGCATATGATATCACTGACCGCTCCACCATTATCATTACCGTAGTCAGTGAATCAACTGCAGCGCGTCACGTAGCTCATCCTTGCTATTCATTTCTGGGGATAGTCTTCTTATTTCCAGTGCTTCTAATAACTTTCTTTCCAACGGATTTTCTATGGAGCGGTGTAATACTGTAATGTACAGTCCTCATCATTACGGACCGGTGGGGCGGCTCAGCCGCGCTGCCCTGTGACGCGACAGCGGCTGCGGCTTGGTGCTGTTCGCTGGCAGAACGGTTCAACAGTCACCCGCGCTCTTGTTCCGTGCCCCCATTTGCGCGCCCGGTATGGTGACTGGCGCCTATTCAGTGATAGACGCCGCGGCCGATCAGCTGATCTCGATGAAAATCGGCTGCAATTTTTTATTTTCAGCCCTTCAAGCTGCGGAACAGCAAGGTGAGTTCTCTTGAACAATTTTAAAATGTTCTGGCTGTAATTTATTATGTTTTGTGCCTATTTTATTGCCCTTTTCCTTGTATTTTTTCCTTTTTCGATTGATGCATGCTTTCCCACCCTTTTTTTGGCTCTTACTTCATGCTGTGTCTTAGATGTGTTTCTGTTTTTTGATTGAAACACTCTTTGACATCGGTTTGAAGTCTGCAGACCAAGTGGAACGTCCTTATTCCCAACATTTTCTGCTGTGGCCGATGTCAAAGAGTGTTTCAATCAAAAACAGAAACATCTGAGACACAGCATGAAGTAAGAGCCCAAAAAAGGGTGGGAAAGCATGCATCAATCGAAAAACCCTAAAAAGGAAAAAATACAAGGAAAAGGGCAATAAAATAGGCACAAAACATAATAAATTACAGCCAGAACATTTTAAAATTGTTCAAGAGAACTCACCTTGCTGTTCCGCAGCTTGAAGGGCTGAAAATAAAAAAAATTGCAGCCGATTTTCATCGAGATCAGCTGATCGGCCGCGGCGTCTATCACTGAATAGGCGCCAGTCACCATACCGGGCGCGCAAATGGGGGCACGGAACAAGAGCGCGGGTGACTGTTGAACCGTTCTGCCAGCGAACAGCACCAAGCCGCAGCCGCTGTCGCGTCACAGGGCAGCGCGGCTGAGCCGCCCCACCGGTCCGTAATGATGAGGACTGTACGTGCGGGCAGGATCGGGCACCTGTGCATGCATTTTGGTGCGGTGCTTGGAGGAGACTGTTGAAAAAACCTTCCCTTGCACAATTGCGTCGCCGGTACAGCGCATCCGATCCCTCCAGCGTCATTGTAAATGAATAAATAAATAAATAAAATATGTAAGAGTTTTAAAGCTCTATAATTTACGGAGCGTTTTCGACTCTTTTTCGGTCTTTCAACTGATTCTAGAATTGACCAGATGATCGAGAAATTGTACATAATTCTCTAGAAGAAAGATCAGGTTCAGAGGGTGGGTTGCTGAGAATTCCGCCAGCAAAAAAAGCAAATTTTCGTCCGGACGCTAACAGGACCAATCCACTTGTTGATACGTGTTCAGAGTTGAAGTTTTTCAAAATTATTTTCCGAGAATCCACGTGAATAATTTCTTGAATGTGATTCAGGTAGTATTTTTTCAGGCGCAGTTTGTTTTGTGTGGGCAGTTTCCCATCGATCCTGATGCCTCATGGCGAAAACCTGTAAATTCCTGTTAAAGTTAACATAATCAGAGTTCGTCTTACATTTTGGAGACGATTTTACAGATCGTTACCAGATAAAACGTTGTAATGTAACGAAGGAACTGAATGAGGGAACGCTAGCGATTGACACGAATTGCCTCCCGCTGTAGCGCCTCTTACATAAGTAACACTCTTTTTCAATCCTAAATCCCGCAACGCTTTCAAAAAACTGGCCCAAATCCTTACATTCTATAAACCACTAACTCTGTGTGTCGGTTTGTCGGTATGTATGTATGTATGTATGTATGTATGTCTGTCCGTCCGCAAAATGCTTCACGGGTTCCCTGAGTTCGCTGGAGGCGAAAACGACCGCTAGGCAAACAGGCAAATCGGTGCGGAAGTATCAATCCAATGTTTTGATCGTGATATCGGCCTCCGCTATATAAGACAACCATACGGTAAGGCGATTGAGTGAACACTCGGAGCCAGTTGCACGAGCTGCTTGCGGTGGGGCAGCTGAGTTCCTCGTCGCGGGCGCAAGCGATGGGATGGGTCCGAGAGGTGGGGCGGGGGGCACTGGGCGCCCCTTCCCCTCTGCTTCCCTTCCCTGTACGTGGCCTGCAGCCGACCCTTGATAATGTGCAAGTGAAGGAAGCAGCAGTGGAGGGGGCTACGGTGCAATGCCCCTCTCTACTTTTCTAGGGGGGGTGGTAGTGCACGCTTGGATAGAATAATAGCAGGAGAGTAGGATACAACCGCTAAAAAAACTCTGAGCTAATTCATAATAGAGTAGCAAACTAATTAAGATGTTGTTTTGACTTGATAATCCCCACCCTATCTAAGACAGTTATTTCGTACATTCCGGGCCATCGCACAAGCTGCTCGCGTGGCAGCTGGATGTGGGCTCGCCCGTGGGTTGATCCATCTATTACGATTCGACCATAACGCATTATGAGCAGCTAAGTGGATGAAAAAAATTTTGTTGCCATCATGAAGTGCGCTCACCAAGCCATCTAAAGAGAAGGAGGGAGCTCGCGTAGCGGGCGTATCCGCGACTGGTATAGCTTTCATATAATGAAAAATCAACCTGTTTTTTCGGCATCGCCGAAGAACATTGATAACAACTGAAATCGTGGAAGCTCCGAAAGAGACAGCAGGCATGTTGAAACCGCTTTTGCTTCGATGCCATCTGATGCAAGAAGTACAGCAAACCCTCGAAGAAGTCTGCCGATCACATCCGCTTCAAGAAGTTCACCGAACAGCGACGAGTAGACAGAAGTTGGAATAGCCTGCAAAACTATGGACAGCAGTAACTAGGAAAATATTGAAAATTAGATCGTATGTTAAGTACTCGCAGAAAAACACCCAGGAAAACGAGTTTATCTGCAGTCGTAACCCCTGCAATCGGTGAGGTTTCGGATAGGGGGAGACGAGCAAGAGAATCGTAAATAGCGACTTCGTCGCGCCGGCACTGGGTGCGACGTTTCCTTTCTGCACTACCCTTTCGATTGGAGCATCGGATTTCATGTAGACAAGGACATGGTAGACACTTATGTCTATTTTTGGTCATACATTGTCTATTCTCGACCAATACCACCTAAAATCGTCGTCATTAGCGGGCGCGACGTCGCACGCGACGCCCACTGGCGCGGCGAATTACGATTCTCTTGCCACATACCCGTCTGATGGGTGGGTACAGGGCACGCCGTTGTTGTGGGCAGTGGGGTACAGGGCACGCCAATTCGTTGTGATGATCACACGGGAGGTGCCACATGATTGAGCGCGGAAGAGCGGCGAGGGGGGGGGTCAAATTATGTTTTTGCCGATTTGTTGGAGAGGGGGACTGGCCCCCCCCCAAAAAAAAATAGCTCGATACAATTAACTATTGTTCCGATTATTTGTAGTTATATGTGTAGTCAAATCTGAGGATCCCAACCCCCCCCCTGTCGTGAGTAGGTTGTCGCCTCGAAAGAGATTTTGAAAAACGAGCCGCTGGCAACTTTTTCGTTTAATCTGTGAAAGTATTGTGGTTGAAAATCTGAGCAATTTCCCTGTTCAACAAATTGGGATATATATCTCCGTCAGAGCGGAATCTCCTGTATTGAATAAACTGGAAGGGAAAAATTGTAAAAAAGGGTAGGAAGTGAGCAAATTCTAGGAAGGGGAATAAGTAGCCAATGGCAGGAGGGGATTCGTATTTGCAGGAAGGAATATATTAGGGGAGGGTCGTGTATTCTTCAAGCAAACATGATCAGAAAGGCGATGCGTGCCCTGGCGGGTGGGCGTAGCCTGCCAAGGAGCAGCCACCACTCACCTATACTTACGCGATATCAAGCTTATATAACGAACAACTGATTCTGAAGCACTATAAGCAATGAATAACCAACAAAACATGCAACCTACTAGGAAATACTTCACAAATGTTTCTGGTGGAAATCGCTGCAGCTCTCGATAGTCCATTAGAAATTCTCGATGTGTTTTTGGAACACGAAATCGGAAATCTTTGCCATCATTCTCTGCAGTGCTCTTTCCGTTCGACAGAGGCTCCTGTAATAATTGACAATGGGAACTTTCGAGACCAGTTCTACTGCTCCCCATACGAAGTAGCACCAGTAAATGATTTTGGTATGAAACATCCCCTCCTATGTGCACAAGCTGGGTACAGATCAGGAGATGTGAACTACAGCGCTGTGGGAGCCTGGCGCGATCTTAGGGCTGATTTCATACTTTGTGTCCAGCGAAACAGGAAAGTATATACATGATCTCTAGCGACAACAGCGTCTACCAACGTCCGCCAGCGCCCTTTCAGCGGCACGACAGGCGGTTTCGCGCGGCAGAAGCGGAGCAAACTGCGTCGCGGGCGAGAACGCTGCTGTACGGCTGGCATCGCTTTTCGTAGATCGATACCTATACTTTCCTAGTCCATTGAGACGCTGATGGACGCTGGCGTACGCTCGAAACGCTGGTGGACGCTAACGCAAAGTATGATCGTAGCTTTATGAGCAGCTTACGCGCAAGCATTCGTACCGATACCCGCTTGGATAGAAGCAAAAAGTGCTGAATTGAGCCTAGCCCACATGAACTGCCCCCCCCCCTCCTCTTTAAAAATTCTGCGACATACGCTTGACTTTGAGGGTAAAGCTTCCACCGTTGATCAATGTCCCTTCTGTGATGTGCTATGCAGTGGATTCCGATTACAACTCGGATTTATAGAGGCTCTTCAAGTGCGATTTCGGACTATACAACTTACAGAGCCAGTTGGTTCCGCTTGATCTTCTGCGGTGCATTCGGACGTATCGATATCAATGTCAATGAATCCCTTATCTGATCGAATTTCGTCTCCAATTTCAATGCATGACACATGGATGGCGTCTGCATCGCGCTAAATACAAACGACAACAGAGTTATCACCTGATCCCAGCTCGATAATGTTTCATATTACAAAAAAAAATACTGAATGGCTAAATTGAAAACTTCTACCTGTCCATTCAGTTTTTCCTTCAGTGCAGAGGCAGCAGCATTGGGAGCCAGGGCTAGGCACCGTTCTAGATCCTTCACAGCTGACGCTTTCAGACCCATTTTTTCCAAAGCACAAGCTCTCCTTAAACAAAATAACTGAATCTCTGTGTGCTATGCCTATGAACTTCAGTCCGACCCTACCGATATAGGGCTTTCGTGAACTTAGAATCGAGCTCCAGTGCGTGATTGCAATCCACGAGCGCTTCTGGCCATTGTTCAAGATTGAGGTGCGACTGTGCGCGATTTCCTGCAAAAGAAGCTGCCACAATTGTCCGGCAACGGGAGGGTGGGGGGGGGGTGCCACTTTATACTTGCTGCTTTCCAATCGACCCCGTGTCGACCATCCAGAGAGCCATTTACAAACGATCTTACAAAAGATGACAGGTTTTACAACGAAGGGCTCCCCGACCACAAGGTGACTGAATCTAATGGCTAAAGTGAGGCTGACCTTCTGGCGGCTTACTAGTAGAATCAGAGCGCAAGCTATCGTTTATCCGAAAAGCGCAGACTACAGCACACTAATAGCCGACTTTTGCAACAGAGTAGAACACTTAGCACGCTTGTTTGACCTACCAAAAGGAAAGGCCGTATCCCTCGAAACTACGTCAATACAGCCAGCCCGGGTGTAGATGTCTACAGTTGGCTCAGCTGTCTCTTTTACACTTTTATGAAATTTTCCTCCCACCCCCTTGCCCGTTTTCCCAACCGAACAACACGGTGTTCACAGGCGCTGGACAAGGTCCTTCGCGCAAATGGTTTTGTCAAAAGTAATAGCAGTACAGTAAAATTAGTAAGAGATTTCCCTTTCTTGTCAATCACCATTGGGCCCGACTTAGACGGTCACAGTCAAAATTCTTGGCGTTATTCGCCTATCACGACCCCACAAAGCTCAAAGCGCTGGTCAAAATCACGATTTGGTTAGAAATTGGGGGCTGTCGGCTTAGAGGGGGCATTTCGCACTTTCACTAGTTCCTCTTGTCTGTTCATGATAAATAATAGTTCTCGCTTTGGTAGGACCTGCAAGCTCTAGTGAAGCTGTGAAAGTTCTGAGCCACCAAAACAACAGAAACAAGGTCACAGATTAACAGGTCTTCACAAAGTACCCTGTACAAGCCTTGCTTTAGAACCATTTGGTGCCCCCACCAAGCCGAACTGTGCCGAATTTTGTCCACAGCGCCACGCCATGAATACGGATATCACTCGTTTGGCGCAAAAGCGCTTCCTTCCCCCGCCCCCGCTTTTCCCGCAACAGGTCAATACTTATTAAAGGCAGCGCCAGCGCCTCCGATGTTCCTACGCCCTCCTTAGATATCGTAGCTTTGTCGACAAGGGTGGAGGATGTACTAATTTCGCAGCTCAAAAATACGAGAGGATGGCGCCACCCGCTTGTGAAGAGGATGCCGCCCCGCCCACCTGGCTGCCATAACTGCTTTGGCTTAGCCTTTGAAGGCTGAGCCCGCTTTCAAGAATAATGAGTTATGGAGCTCATATAATACGTAGTGAAGAAAAAAGCAGAAAAAAATCATGGAAAATGCCCTATATAGAACCCTATGCTGGCCAGGTGGGCGGGGCGGCCGACTCTTCACTAGCGAACGGCGCTATCCTCTCGCCTTTTTGAGATGCAAAACTAGTACATACTGCATCCTCATAGGGAGGGCTATGATATCCAGAGCGGGAACATCAAATGAACGTGGGCGCTGCCTTTAGGGTCGCATACGGTCATTTCCACTGTCGAGGCTGGGCGTGTCAGGGGACCGTGTTTGGCGCGGCCTTTGCCCTGTCTGTACCGTTTTTCAAGCGCAACAACAATCGATGGAGAGCAGGCTAACACCCCCTGACACGCCCCCTGTGCCTGCAGCGAAAACGACTATACACCAACTGTGCATTAATCACTATACTACTATTTTTTAAAATTACTGTAAAGTACCGAGAACAGGAGCGGAGAGTTGCTTTTGTAGACTTTGCGAATAGAGTTCGATGGCTTTGTGGTAACGCTTTTCACGGAAACATACATTACCCGCTTCCTTCAAACGAACAGCTTCCATCGACATCTGGGCAGACTAAGCTATGCAAATTAGTCCACAAATCCAGAAAAATATCGATTTATGTATGTTTACGCCACGATATTATGTAAGGCGAGAACCTGTGTTACTTCTGAACATAAAGCTAAAATAACTTATATATTTATTACATGAATCACAGCAGTAATTTGCACCAATATCATCAATATGAAAGATAGAGATAAGCAACAATAAATACTATGCATGAAACCCTCCTGTACAGGTACGGGCATATTCTTTCACCTAATACAAATTTCTCTCGCTGATCTTTCAGATTTCCTAATAATCGATGACGAGTAAGAGGCTTGAATCAACGGTTGACTCGACCATCAGCCTTCAAGATCAGTATTTCATGAGTACGAAATCTGTAGCTGGAAAGTCGTGTAGCTTAGAAGCTGGGCGTGCATAGCTTTTCACACGAATGCCACCCTGTGCAAGGGTGAAGTCAGCCTGCAGCTGCAGCAAAGCGCTACTTGCCCTTCTAGGCCTTGTACGGGAATGGGAAAACTTCATGGCGCCCAGAAACTCTCCGAACTTGTTTCTTGTCTAGAAACAACAGAAAAAAACTCCCAGCTGTTCAGTTTTTATCTTAAAGGCAGCGCCCACGTTCATTTGATGTTCCCGCGCCTCTCTGGATATCATAGCCCTCCCTATGAGGATGCAGTATGTACTAGTTTTGCATCTCAAAAAGGCGAGAGGATAGCGCCGTTCGCTAGTGAAGAGTCGGCCGCCCCGCCCACCTGGCCAGCATAGGGTTCTATATAGGGCATTTTCCATGATTTTTTCTGCTTTTTTTCTTCACTACTGGATCACGTATTATATGAGCTCCATAACTCATTATTCTTGAAAGCGGGCTCAGCCTTAAAGGCTAAGCCAAAGCAGTTATGGCAGCCAGGTGGGCGGGGCGGCATCCTCTTCACAAGCGGGTGGCGCCATCCTCTCGTATTTTTGAGCTGCGAAATTAGTACATCCTCCACCCTTGTCGACAAAGCTACGATATCTAAGGAGGGCGTAGAAACATCAAATGAACGCGTGTGCTGCCTTTAACGAAACGCGCGGCTTTTCTGCGCCCCCTCACATCCAGCGGTTCTTTACCTCTAACTGCGTGCTCACCGTTGTCCTAAAAGTGGTGCTGCACCTTGAAGATAGTAAGTGAGGAAAAGATTGGATATCACTACGTACCACCCTCATTTCCGCTTCAAGAAGCCGAAAATAAACCCGTTCATCTCACACACGGACTGTCCCAGGAGGATGCCCAGTTTGTCTTCAAGCAACAAACCACAGAGGAATTCGTGGTTCAATACCTTTTTCCCTTTATCATTTCAACTGTCTCTTCACTAAAATCCGAAAACGCTGAGAGCCAAAAATATAATAAAAT